GACCCTGTATCAAAATAAAAAAGGGCTGAGGATATAGGTTAGTGGTAAAGCATCCCTGGGTTCAGTTGTTAGAACAGCAACAACAACAACACACACACACACACACACACACAGTGCCAATGATTAGAGTGTTTGGCCCCTAAGTCTACCAGCTGAATTTACTCAGGGCTGGTAAACAGGAAATGATGCTTGATATGGTATCCTAGTACCAAACTTATGCCATAGGCCTATATACTTTTTATAGCATTTTTGGTTATTTTCACATATTCCTAGTACCATTTGATCTACATGTTATTAAAAGTCAGTCTTTTCTTTTTGGAACCATGGATTGAACTCAGTGGTACTTAACCACTGATCTACATTCCCAGCCCTTTTTATTTTTTGAGACAGGTTCTCGAAAGTTGCTTAGGACCTCATTGAGTTGCTGAGGCTGGTTTTGAACTTGAAATCCCCCTGCCTCAGATTCCCACATTGCTGGTATTACAGGCATGTGCCACCATACCTGGCAAAAGTCAGAATCTTACTTGCAGAAAATAATTAAGAAACATCACTAGAGGAGCATACCAACTTAAGGTTATCTGGGTAAATGTTGACATTATTAATCAATGAGCACATTCTACCACCACAGTATCAAGAGCTAAGCAGAACTCAGAAGAAATCCTATTAAATGATTTTTCAGCATGTTTGCCAARTAAGTTCTTGGAGAAAAGTATTGACTGACCCATTTGTGTGGTGTGGGCAGAAGCCATCTGTTGCACTTCTTGCACCCAAACAGATGGGGTCCAAACCTATACATACTWCCCATATGTGATAGGCTTTCCCGAGAACTTTGATTATTCAACAATGTTGGTAAAGATCTTGCTGTAAAGAGATATACATCAAATGTATTGTGGAGATTAGGAAGATAGGATTCCATTTCCTAGGAACCAAAGAATTTGTAATGGCAAGATAAACCCAGAAATAGATGGAAAAAAAACTTGATATTTAAATAGCTATGAATTAACAATGCAAATTAACATTATGAATTGAGTACAATTTATTTACTCATGTTTTTTGGAGGGTACTAAGGATTGAATTCAGAGGTACTCGGCCACTGAGCCACATCCCCAGTATTTTATTTAGAGACAGGGTCTCACTGAGTTTCTTAGTGCCTTGCTTTTGCTGAGGCTAGCTTTGAACTGAGGATCCTTCTGCCTCAGCCATGAGAGCCACTGGGATTATAGGTGTACACCACCACGCCCAGCAAATTGAGTACGAATATTGAGTCAAGAATTATCAAAGTAGGGGCTGGGTTTGTGGCTCAGCAGTATAGCACTTGCCTAGCACATGTTGGATCCTCAGCACGCATAAAAATAAATAAATAAAGGTATTGTGTCCAATTACAACTAAAAAATAAATAAATATTTAAATAAAAGAATTATCAAAGTAGATTTGGGTAAATTAGCATAAATTTTCCATTGATAATGAATTAAAATGTATATACAAAGCTGGGTGCAATGGCTTGCACACACCTCTGATGCCATTTTTCTTGGGCTGCTGAGGCTTGCAGGAAGATTGCAAGTTCAAGGCCAGCCAGGGTAACATAGCAAGACCTTGTTTCTAGAAAAAGAATACAAGAAAAAAGTATGTGTAAGCCAGGCATAGTGGTAGCATCTGTGGACTCTTGAATGGGGAAACTGAGGTGGAAGGATTCCCAAGAGTTGAAGGCTAGCATGGCCAACATATTAGAAACTATAGAAAAGAAAAAAAGTGTGGGGGCTGGGGTTGTGGCTCAGTGGTAGAGCACTCRCCTTGCACATGTGAGACCCTGGGTTCGATCCTCAGCACTACATAAAAATAAAGAAGTAAAATAAAGRTATTGTGTCCAACTACAACTAAAAAATGTTTTTAAAAAAAGAAAAAAWGTGTATATTTATTTTTAACGAAAGAAGCTTGTTTCATATTATAAAATACTGTGGAAGGGTAGAAAGTGAAAAAGCATTTTATTTTTCAGTCTTTTTTAATTTCATGTGCTTTTTGATATTCTTTGTGTTCACTTAAGCATATATTTCTCTTTAAGTGAGAAAGTTTTTCACACAAAGAATCTTTTTTTTATTTTTATTTTTTAAAGAGAGAATGAGAGAGTGAGAGTGAGAGTGAGAGAGAGAGAGAGAGAGAGAGAGAGAGAGAATTTTTTAATATTTATTTTTTAGTCATCGCGGACACAACATCCTTGTTTGTATGTGGTGCTGAGGATCGAACCCAGGCCGCACGCATGCCAGGCGAGCGCGCTACCGCTTGAGCCACATTCCCAGCCCCTCACACAAAGAATCTTAAGTGAGAAAGTTTTTCATACAAAAAATCTTATTGTACCTATTGATCTGCAGATTGTTCCTTTTACTTAATGATATAATTTAGATTTTTTTCATCATAATACCTAGAAATTTCTTCTCCTGTTTAATGGATACATAGTTGTTATGAATTTAATTCTTTTCTTTTTGGTAGTTTATCTCTTTCTCTTAAATTAATTTCCTTAGTTTCACTAGCCACATTTCAAGTTGTCGACAATCACATGTGGCTAGTGGCTSTCATATTGCACAGTACATATGTAGACCATTTCCATGATTGCAGAAAGTTTTCTTAGAAAATACTGATCTAAAGTTGTCTGGGAAAAATATCACCTCAAATTCTGTAATCTGGGTCTGGGGATGTAGCTTGTTGTGGAGTACTTACTTAAGCATGTGCCTGGGTTCAATTTCTAGGAATGAAAAAATATAATGTAATGACTCTACAGTTTTTATTAAGGAATTGAAAAGAAACTGGGCATAGTGGTGCCCAGCTGTAGTCCCRGCTGTTTGAGAGACTAAGGAAGGAGGATCACTTGAGCATAGGAATTAAGAGTTTGAAGAACATAGTGAGATGCCAGTGTAAAAAAAATTTTTGAAAAGACGTCATAATGTTAACATTAAAGAAAATCATGGGGGCTGGGAATGTAGCTCAGCAATAGAGAGCTTGCCTAGTGTGCACAAAAAAAGAAAAGAAAAAAAAAGAAAAACATTAGGCACAGTAGMAGCYGTAATCCTAGTGACTTGGGAGGCTGAAGTAGGAGGATGACAAATTTGATGCCACCCTGAGCAGCTTAGTGAGACCCTGTCTCAAAATTTAAAAATAAATAAATGAATACAGACCTAGAGATGTGGCTAAGTGGTAGACTGCCTCTGACTTTAGTCCCCAGTACTGCAAAAAAACCAATCAATGAATTAAAGAAAATTAGAAAAACACCTGTATTTCCAGTATTTCTACTACCCTAGCATAACATTTATTATTTTTGTACATTTTTATTTATTTATGATTCTTATCATTGCAGATATATAACTTTCATACTTATTGTTATGTATGCAGAAATTATGCTCTACTGTCATGCATATATTAAACATTTATAGAATGCTGTATGTTCACATTTTTTATTTTATCACACCAAGATATTATAATTATATAGCCACTCCCTAATTGTTGGGAGTGGCTATGTAATTTATGCCATTCCTTTTTATTATTATTATTATCAATAGTGTACAAATACCTTTTACAAAAAGTTTTTTTTTTTTTTTTTTTTGATGGTACTATGGATTGAATACAAAGCCTCACACATGGCAGGCAAGTATTCTACCACTGAGCTGTATCTCCAGCCCTTTTTAGTAATTTATTTATATTTTAAAATTTTAATTTTGAGACAGAATCTCACTTAGTTGAGGAGGGTAGCCTCAAAYCTAGGACCTCCTGCCTCAGCCTCCTGAGATTACAGGCATATGCCACTGCATCCAGCTAAAAAGTACTAATTTTGAAAAACAGAGTGTGATGTCAGGTGGGTTCTTTGGCAGATTCAAAGAATGAGATCCATAGACAAGTGAAGGGTAGAAAAGCAAGATTATTTAAAGCAGAAAAGGCTCCCAGAATACAGGAGTGATTCTGAGGGAAGGTACAGTCTCAGGCCTGTCTTCTGTCTAGGGGGTTTTATGGGCTTGATCTGTCTCTGTAGGTGATTGGTGGGATGACATGTAAATATAGGGTTCAGAAAGGGACCAATCAGTTCTATTTTGACTTCAGTTAATCTGGAGAGAGCAGTTTCTTTTCTTTCTTTCTTTCTTCTTCTTTTTTCTTTTTCTTCTTTTTATATCAGTTGTTGATAGACCTTTATTTATTTATYTATYTATCTATCTAKCTATCTRTYTATTTATTTATTTTTTATGCATGGTGCTGSGAATCAAACCCAGTGCCTCACAGTAAGAGGCAAGTGCTCTACTGCTGAGCTCCAACTCCAGCCCCTGGAGAGAGTAGTTTCTGAGCCTTTATTAGCATAACAGTGGGGGTGAGTGTTCTCTAGGTAGGTCATTGCTAGGGGTAGTTAAGGAAATATCCTGTGGTTAGGACTAGGTGGGGTCTGAAGCTTGATTTTCTAATCATGTCTTCCTCCTTCTCTGAGACCCTTTCCCTAACTGCCTGTGGGTGGTCTATCTTTCTGTGTTTCATTTTCATGGGATGTACTACTCAAAGAGAGATTATCAGCTTTCTGTCTTCTGCTGCATATTGATAGCCTTAAGTTTATTTTGAAAGGAGGGGCAGAACCTGGTTTATTGGAGAAAGTAGGTGAGATGACAGCTGTGGGAAATGATCTGTGCAGAGGCACTGAGGAGAAAACCAGTTCTTTAAAAAGTTAAAAAATGTACATTATTTATTGGAACAGATTCTTAAGGTGTTGAAAATACCAAGATTTTAGATAGTAGAATGAGTTGGACATTACTTTCCTGTTTTCATGTATGAATACATGACCAGTGTGACTCCACATCATGTACAACCGCAAGAATGGGAAGTTATACTCCATGTATGTATAATATGTTAAAATATATTCTACTGTCATGTGAAACTAAAAAGAATAAAAAATTTAAAAAGAGAAAATACTAAGATTTTATTGGTAATGAGTTCAGAACTTGGGAATAAATGTATAAAACATTTTTTCCCCCTAGATGAAGCCGATGATGATGATGATCCAGAATATAATTTTCTAGAAGATCTTGATGAACCAGATACAGAGGATTTCCGTACTGACCGGGCAGTGAGAATTACCAGTGAGTATGTTTATCAAATCCTAGTTTTGTCTGTTCTGCATCTACCTTTGTTTATTTTGTAGATTTTTGTTGGTTAAATTTGCAGCATGTTTAAGTTAAGACATTTAAGTTTCCTCTACTGCTTATTTCTGTAATTCTTTAAATTTAGGTATATGTTCAGAATGCAGTACTTTRTTTTTATATCCCATAGTGATGTATTGAGTTCTTTTTATTTGGCAAAGATTGTAGTTGGGATACCAAGAAAAAATTGAGCAGTCCCTGCCCTGTGAGAGACTAGTCAAGGGAAAGAATTTCAGTATAACATGATAGGTGCCAAACAGGTTGAGTGTAAAGTACACTTGGTCACCTAAAGAGATTGTCATCTCCTAGAGTATGGTATGGAATAGGGTAGGAGGCTTAGGAAAGGATTCACAAGATGAGATGTTTTAGCCAAGCTTTCAAGAAGGTATGAGAGATTTTTGATGATTGGGAACAGAGAGGGATAATGCAAACACAAGAGCATCTGCAAACCACAAAATTATCAAGCATCAAAAAAATGTGTTTAGAAAATATCTAATTAGGTGGAGTTGTGTGAGAGGTGGTACTAAACATAAGTAGTGTTCAGATCATGGGGAAGTTTTAAGTAGAAAATCAATAGAAACTGAGTTGGATTTTAGAAAGATTAAACTGGTATTTGATTTAATACTAGTTTAATGTATTTGATGGGTAAAATTAATATATTAAACTAGTCTGAGGACATAGGCCCAGATAAATTCCATGGCAGACCACTTTTGCCACAACCTGCTGCAAATTACTTTGAGTAATTTGTTTAAAAAATTGTATCATTGGCTAGTGTTCCAGTCATGGAAAATTTATATTTCAGAAATCATTTATTTTTACTTGGAAGGCTGAGGTGGAAGATCACTTGAGTTTAGGAGTTGGAGTCAAGTCTGGGCAACATAGTGAGACCCTGTATCCAAAAAAAAAAAAAAACAACATTGATTTTTACAAAGGGTCTACATGACCCTGTGCTGGAGTAATATGTACAATGTGGAGAAAGCAAGGTCTTACCTTTTGACCAAGTTGTACAGAGATTTTTTTTTTTAGGCCTCCAAAAATATTTACTGTGTGTCTAAATAATGCAATWTATTTCCTACAGAATACCATCTCCTTTATGAAGGTCTTCTATTTATTTTGATAAATTATCCAAATTATCTATTGTAGCAATTAAGTTTAGAGGAGTAGGACTTAATGGCACACAACTGTATTCCCAACAACTCTGGAGCCTGAGGCAAGAGGATTGCAAGTTTGAGCCTGGCCAATTGAGTGAGACCATGTCTCAAAATAAAAAGGGCTGGGGAGGGTTGTGGTTGTGGCTCAGTGGTGGAGCACTTGCCTAGCACATGTGAGGCCCTGGGTTTGATCCTCACCACCACATAAAAATAATAAAATAATAAAGGTATTGTGTCCATCTACAACTAAAAAAAAAAAAAAAAAAAAAAGGCTGGGGATGTAACTCAGTGGTAGAATGCTTGCCTAAACATGTGGGGAGTCTCTGGATTCAATCTCTTGTACTGCAAGGGGAAAAAGAGTTAGAGGAAGCATTGGAAAGAAAGCACCAGAAGTTAAAGAGGATGCGTGGAATGAAAAGGCTGGAGGATTTAGGCTTTGAGAAAACATCGAAGGAGGGACTAGGAAACCACAAGAAAATGTARTGTCATAGAAGACAAGGAAAGAATCTTTTTAAAAGGAGGAGCTTGTATGTAGTGTCATTTGCAGGTAAGGAAATTTTCTGCTTCAAGCAGAAAAGCAGGCTATCTTATTTCTGTTCATCCATCAGCTGGAACATACTTGTTTTCCCTTTTTGTTTATCTACTGTTATTTCTGGTTACATAWAATTTCTTAGTGACACTCTCTTTAATTAGAATTGATCATCTTGTTTTGCACTCTCATACCATTTTTTAATGTTTTTTTTTTTTTTATATATATACTCATTGCTCTGATAATTTCTTATTTAGCATCTCTCTTTTTCCCCTGGACTGGGAGCTTCTCCAGGGCTTTGTGTTATTTACTGCTGTAAAGTCAACGTTTAGCACAGTGCTGGCAATATTTGCCAATTAAGTAAATAACTTTTTTGAGATGCCTGAATGAAGAGCCATCTTTCTAGTGAGAGTTCTGTGAAAACTAGGGTAAAATATAAATTTTCTTCCTACTCCTTGTCATAAAACAAATGTGACATTGTGATATTATTCGATTATAATCCCTTCAACAGAATTTATCCTTGTATGGGTGATTAAAAAAATAATAATAATAAAAAAGCATAAAATCATAATTTAAAAGTTCTGTGGGGTCATATTTTTTTCCCACTTGAGAATTTATTTATAATTTCTGTGATATGACCTTTTTGTCTCTGTTTGTATAYCTTCAGTGAGAGGGAGTGCATCATTCTGCAAATACAGTGTGTTCTAGTCTGAACAACTGCTCAATTAACATTTCCATATTCTTCTTGTTTGTTCTTTGTTTTTTGTTT